ACAGCGCCACTTCCGGTTTTCTGGTGGTTTATTGAGATAGGAGTTTCATGGTCTCTCCTGCCCGGGCTGGCTTTGAACCGCGATCCTCAGATCTCAGCCTCCTGAGTAGCTAGGATTACAGGCGTGAGCCACCAGCGCCCGGCTCTTAGCTCAATTTTGTGAGTGGAAATTTTTCTTGTTTTATTGTTCATTGGTAATTTCAAAAGATGTGATTATTAAACTAGCAGTAATTGAAAGAGCATTATGTTGTTCTAGAAAGTGAGAATGAGGAGGAACTAGACTGAACACTTATTTCCTATTTAAGCCACAGAACTGAAGATGGCATTGTCCCCATTCCTTTTATGTTGCTTTAATGTTTGCATGTCTATCTATCTAGGCCTTGAGTGGGAAGGACAAAACTATTGTTTGGATTTCTATTTAGGAGGAGAACAGTTCTGATGGTGATAGTGATAGTGATGATGCTTTTTTTTTCTTGGTTATTCATTAGTCATTCATTAGGTCACTGCATTGGAAAATTAAATTTCTGTACATTCTTAATTTCTGTTTTGGAATGGACACCAGTATAGCTACTCTTATCTATTGTATTGTTAACTTTGAAGAGCAGAAATAGGATTTGCCATGAAAACAGAGCAGTGAGAATTATAAACCTTAGGTTTTATTCCCAGCTTTGCAACTGAGTAACGAATAACATTATCTCCTAGCCTTTCAGTCCTTTGATAAGTGGAGATAATAAAGCTTACTGCCCACTTCAGAGGATGTGGGAGAGCTACTGATGTCAGCTAGCTCTCTTTATGATTGTGGGATAGAGGAGAGCTGAGTAGAACTCGTGATGGTACTGAGATGGTACCTATTTCTGGGAAATAGTAGGTACAAGCAACAAATCCCCATTTCATCAACAAGGAAATTGAGACAGAACTGTCTAATGACTTGTCTGGTTAGATCCAGGACTAGTGATTAGTTTACTACAGTCTGGTATAAGATTAAGAGAATGTGGCTTAGTGGTAGAGTGCTTGCCTAGCATTCATGAAGCACTAGGTTTAATTCCTCAGTACCACATAAACAGAAAAAAACAGAATTGGTGCTTTGGCGCAAGTGGTAGAGTGCTAGGTTTGAGCAAAAGAAGCTCAGGGACAGTGCCCAGGCCCTGAGTTCAAGCCCTAGGACTGGCCAAAAAAAAAAAAAAAGATTAGGAAAATTAATTTTGGAATTAGACCTCTATTCAAATTCTGACCCTCTTCCTTGCCAACTTCGGAAAGAAAGTCATTAATGAGCTCTGAGGAAGGGGTTTTCTCAGCTGTGGAATAGAGAGCTTTATAAACTCAGCTAGAGAGGTGACTGCAAAGATTAAATGAAGTCTTGTAAGTTGCTTAACACATTAACTGGCGGCAGGAGCAGGTGATACTAGTACTGATTTTTAGTCTTTGTTTTTGCCAGGCCTGGGGCTTGAACTCAGGGCCGGGGTGCTGTCCCTGAACTTCTTTTTGCTCAAAGCTAGCACTCTACCACTTGAGCCACAGCACCACTTCTGTTTTTTTCTGTTTATGTGGTATTAAGGAATGGAATCGGGTAAGCACTCTAGCCATTAAGCCACATTTCCAGCTTGACTTTTATTCTTACATTATTTCCATTGATAGGGATAGAGCTGTTTGAGTGTGACTGTGGTCTGGATTTGGAGCTAAACTTGGATTCTAGTTTTTGTTTTATCATGTGAATCATTTAAGCTTTTTTTTTTTTTTGGTTGATTGTGGGGCTTGAACCTCAGGGCCTGGGTTCTGTCCCTGACCTCTTTTGCTCAAGGCTAGTGCTCTATCACTTTGAATCAGAGCTCCACTTTGGTTTTTGAGTAGTTAATTGGAGGTAAAAGTTTCATGAGGACTTTTCTACCCTGGCTGGCTTCAGACCGTGATCCTTAGCTCTCAGCCTCCTGAGTAGCTAGGATTACAGGCGTGAGCCACTGGCACCCAGCTCACTTAAGCTTTCTGAGCCTTCATGTCTTCCATTGTCAAATAGAAATGATTACTTTTGCAGATTATTACAAGGATGAAACATGGTATGTTGCATCCTGCCATGTGTGCACATGCATGCACATGTACGTGTGTGTGTATGTATAAGCACCTGGCACAGGTGCTTCTATATGTGCTTGAAAGATACTGTTCATATCAAGAAAATCACTCTATGGGGCAGCATTTTCTCTTTGTTTTAATTCTGAGTATATCTTTCCTGGATGACTTTCAATTTGTCTTCTTTTCCAAAAGAGAAGCCAAGTGCTGGCTTTACCAATGCAAAATTGGAGCAATGCAGAGAAAATTGCACGTCATGCTGTGCAAAGGTAACACTTACCTGACTGAAATGCTTCATGCTTTTCTTTTTGGACTGAAGCTAATAATTACTCATTTATTTGTGACAAATATTCCACTGGTGACAAATGTCCTTACCTCCTCCCTCCCCCAGTGGATCCAACATTTTTGCTAGTTAAGAGACAGTCTCTCAGGGCTGGGAAGGTAGCTCAGTGGTAGAGTGTTTGCCTTGCATGCCTGAGGCCCTGGGTTCGATTCCTCAGCACCACATAAGCAAAAAGAAAAAAGCCGGAAGTGGAGTTGTGGCTCAAAGTGGTAGAGTGCTAGCCTTGAGCTGAAGAGCTGAGGGACAGCGCCCAGGCCCAGAGTTCAGGCCCCACGATGGGACCCAAAAAAAAAAAAAAAGAGACAGTCTCTCTGACTCGTCTGCCCAGGTTGACTGCAAACCTCTTTCTTAAGAGCTTAGTTTATTTATTTGTTTGTTTGTTTTGTCAGTCATAGGGCTTGAACTCTGGGCCTGAACACTGTCCCTCAGCTCTTCAGCTCAAGGCAAGTGCTCTACCGCTTTCGCCATAGTGCCACTTCCGGTTTTCTAGTGGTTTATTGGAAATAGGAGTCTCATGGACTTTTCTGCCTGGGCTGGCTTTGAACCGTGATCCTCAGATCTCAGCCTCCTCAGTAGCTAGGATTATAGGCGTGAGCCACTGGCGCCCGGCCAGAGCTTAGTTTACTGAATAATTAGGTTTACAGGTTTGAGTACTAGTACTCAGCTTAGCCATTTCTGAGTCAGGGAGTTCCTGTTCATTGTTTCATTAATCACTGGTGACTGGTGGTACAAGTCTGTAATCCTAGTCACACAGGAGAATGAGATATAGAGAATGGAAGTTCAAAGCCAGCTGAGTCAGAACAGTCTGAAAGACTCTTCAACTAACTAGCAAAATGCTGGACTGGCTCTAATGATAGACTTAACTGTCTGGGGCTAGAAAGCTGAATGAGAATTGGTGACACTGAGTTCAAGCCACACACACACACACAATGTCTGTAGAAATCCTTCATGCTAACGATGGTTATGGAAATCACAGAAGACTTTTACAGCTTTTGACTTTTACTTTTATAAGTAAGCTCCCAATGATAGAAAATGGCTGCATATCTTTCTTCCTTTTTAAAAATTGTACTATTGCAGCTATGAAGAAAACTTTAAACCAGCAGAGGGCGTTGCATTCTGCCTCCTACATCATCTTCAGAAATCCCTACTGTCAGAACTGGCCAGTGAAAGCTGCCCTGATTAAACAGAGAAAGAAGCATTTTTAGACCCAGTGGACAGTCTGAAGAGGGCTGTACATTGAGCCAATGGACTACTTTGAAGCATCCTTTTATCTGTAAAAGCAAAGAATAGAGTAGAAAAATTTTGCTAAAATGACAGCCTTTTTCCTACTAGCATGTGCCTAAACTTTTAATTTGTCTTTTTGGCCAGAGGATAAACTCAGTACTTCTCGGAATCAGTAGAAATTGAAGCCAGAAACATAAAAGTCGCAATTTGGATCCAGTAGCAGTAGCATCCACCTCTTGGGGCTTTTTCTGAACTTAAGAAAACTTAAAAACTAACTGATCCACAGTTTTAACTTCCTCTTTCTTCTAGTCACCATCTGGCAAAAA